TGACTCAAAAAGAAAATCCCCAAAAAGAAAATGCTTTTAACATTGAACACTTTCACCTCACTCACACATAATCACTGTTTTTGCAGAGGTGCCCAGAATACAACAGTTTAGAAGTGTATACATATAAAAACACACAATATATGCCTCCAAAATGCCAATATCCCAAACCCCTCCTTTAGAGTGCAGGCATTGTACTCCCATTTCCAGGACTCAAGTCCGGTTATATAAAATAACTGGTTTCTTTGAATCACTTCACTAAATATTACCCTGCTCACACTCCAACAGATCGTCAGGTCCCAAGTACCATTTGTCACCATTCACTCCATATACAACAAATATACATATAGAGTACAACAAATTTCCAAGAAAATCTCTAAGACAGTAGGCATACTATCAAAGATAGGGTACTATGTTCCACAATCAGCTCTCCTTGCACTGTATCACTCGCTCATCTACCCTTATCTCACATATGGAATTTGTGCATGGGGGTCAACAACATCAAATCTCCTAAGGCCACTAATAACCCAGCAAAAGGCTGTATCAGAATGATGAATTCCCACTCGTGACAGCATACTCCACCTTTATTCAAAAGTCTAAATTTGCTCATCATAAAGAACATCCATACTTATTCATGTGCCTACTACACAGACCAATACACGCAAACATAAACCCTCCACTCAAACTTCTCCTCACCAACCTTAACAGGGCAGACGACCATAACACAAAACACAGATCTCTTTTTGATGTACCCCATGTCCATATCACACTGTGTAAAAACTATGCACATAAAGGACCCCAAAATCTGGAATTCATTACCAGAACATACTAAAGTAACCAGGCCTGAAAATCAATTTAAGACTTCTAAAAAACCACTTACTCACCAAGGACTAAATAATCAACATTCAATATTTAACATTACCAATAATTCTCCCAATTACTTAAATCTTAAAACTTCAAGACAACATACAGCAAACTGATCATCTTTTGTTATACATTATAATGTGACAAATTTGTACAACTATAATGCTTCAGTATCGATATGTTCAAATTTCATTGTTTCAAATACTCAACTGTACTTCATATTGTAAATGGTTTACTGTAATTTCTAACAATGAGCCTTTCATTGCTTGTTAATTTTAAGTTAATTTTAAGCCTGCCCATAATGCTCTGCATACAAGGGGGCTTTTGGCATGTCCACCCAACTACTATATTTCATTGTACAACTATGTATCATGTCCAAATAAAATATATAAATATGAACTGAATATTCATACAGGAAAGAGTAAGGTTATGAGGATAACAAAAAGATTAGGTGATGAAAGATTGGATATCAGATTGGAGGGAGAGAGTATGGAGGAGGTGAATGTATTCAGATATTGGGAGTGGACGTGTTAGCGGATGGGTCTATGAAAGATGAGGTGAATCATAGAATTGATGAGGGGAAAAGGGTGAGCGGTGCACTTAGGAGTCTGTGGAGACAAAGAACTTCGTCCTTGGAGGCAAAGAGGGGAATGTATGAGAGTATAGTTTTACCAACGCTCTTATATGGGTGTGAAGCATGGGTGATGAATGTTGCAGCGAGGACAAGGCTGGAGGCAGTGGAGATGTCATGTCTGAGGGCAATGTGTGGTGTGAATATAATGCAGAGAATTCGTAGTTTGGAAGTTAGGAGGAGGTGCGGGATTGCCAAAACTGTTGTCCAGAGGGCTGAGGAAGGGTTGATGTGGTTTGGACATGTAGAGAGAATGGAGTGAAACAGAATGACTTCAAGAGTGTATCAGTCTGCAGTGGAAGGAAGGCGGGGTAGGGGGTTGGCCTAGGAAAGGTTGGAGGGAGGGGGTAAAGGAGGTTTTGTGTGCGAGGGGCTTGGACTTCCAGCAGGCATGTGTGAGTGTGTTTGATAGGAGTGAATAGAGACAAATGGTTTTTAATACTTGACATGCTGTTGGAGTGTGAGTAAAGTAACATTTATGAAGGGATTAAGGGAAACCAGCAGGCCAGATTTGAGTCCTGGAGATGGGAAGTACAGTGCCTGCACTCTGAAGGAGGGGTGTTAATGTTGCAGTTTAAAAACTGAAGTGTAAAGCACCCTTCTGGCAAGACAGTGATGGAGTGAATGATGGTTTAAGTTTTTCTTTTTCGGGCCACCCTGCCTTGGTGGGAATTGGCCAGTGTGCTATAAAAAAAAAAATAATAATAATGAACTTCATTTGTTTTACTCTGCCTTCAACATTTAGCATATCCAGTTAATAATAATAATTTTATTTCAATATGATATAATGTTTGTACAATGGAGATTGACATTTGGGTGTACATGTCAAAACCCCTTTATATGCAGTAATTACATGTTGTAATTCATCCTGACCTACATGCTCTCTTGGACCAAGAGGGCCAAGTAGGTTCAAGATGGCTCTCATCATTTTGTTCGGGCTGATTTGTAATCTATCTTTCAGTTGTTTTTTTTCTATTAAGCAGAGTACCATGAAGAACAAGAATAATCTATGACATTGTATGAGAGCTAGATTTAGGGTCTTGCAAGCCTCCTATAATTAAGTTTATTTAGGAACAGTTACACAAGTACAATTACCATACATAATAACAATAACAAGTTTATTTTAGCATGATACATGTTTATACAAAGGAGTGTAACAATTTGGTGAACAAGCCAAAAGCCCCTTTATATGCAGAGCATTTCGGGCAAGCTTAAGACTAACTTAAGATTAATAAGGCAATAACAGTGCTGTAATTTTACATATGGTCATTAGGCGAGTTACAGTGAATACAAGAAAACTGAATATTCAATTAGTTCATGCTATATGGCTTTAGCACGTTCGGTAGAGAATAATTAGTTTTGATATAGTATATAAAAAATACAGTATTACAATTTAGAACAATTTAAAGCAATGAAATTGAAAATTTTAAGTTTGAAGTAAATCAAATAGTTGAGCAGTCATAAATTATTTAAGAATTTTTTGAGTAACTTTTGAGTAACTGGTAGGTATTAAGTAACGTGTCTGTCTGGTTAATTTTGGGTGATGAGGTGATTTCTAAGTAGGGCCTTAAATTGATTTGCAGGCAGGGGCCCTTTAATCCACACCATTTTTGCATAGGGAGAGATGGACACGAGGGATATCGAAGAGCAATTTGTGTCTTGTAATATGCCTGTAAGTTCTGTTGTAGTTATCAAGGAGTAGTTTGAGAGGAGGGTTAATATTTGAGTATAATGTTGTGTGTGTGTGTAGTAGGCACAATAATAAGTGTGGATGTTTTGTATATTAAACAAATTAAGGCTCTTAAAAGATGGTGGAGTGTGCTGTCTAGTGCAAGAGTGGTAAAGAGTAAGAGGAGCTGTTTGAGGTACATAGTACCATATCTTCGAAAGGATGCCTACTGTTTTGGGGGACTTTCTTGGATATCTGTTGTATGTGGGTCTGGAATTTGAGACTGCAGTCAAGGCGGAGACCTAGAAATTTGCCCTCTGTCTTGAAATGGGTGAACCATTTATAAATATGTTTAGCTGTACATTTGAAGCCGTTTCCAAATAGCATCAAGTAGGTTTTGTCTATACTGAGAGTAAATTTGTTAATAGTCATCCAAGTAGATATTTTTAGTAGTTATATAAGTAGTGTCATCTTCAAATAAAATGGGTTTAAGAAGTTTAGATGCATTTGGGATGTCACTAATGTAAATGAGAGAGAAGTGGGCCAAGGACACTTCCCTGTGGTACTCCAATGAGAACAGGTTGTGTAGTGGAGTTAGCACCATTTGTGTATACATACTGGTTTCTATTGCCAAGATAAGATTTTAAGTAATCGAGACAGTGTCCTCTGATCCCATAATATTCAAGTTTTAGATGCAATACGTCATGGTCAACTGTATCAAAAATTTTACATAGGTCTATGAAAAGTCCCAGGGGAATTTCATTTTTTTTGAGTGCCGAATATATTAGTTCAAGCATATGTATAAATGCATCATTAGTACTTTTTCTCGGTCTAAATTCAAACTGACAGGGATTATGTTGTGGGATACTAAGTAGGAGTAGACTTGTGAATTAATTTTTCGAAGAATTTAGATAGTAGAGGCAAGTTTGATATAGGCCAATAGTTGTTCAATTCAGTTGGATCACCTCCTTTGAGGATCGAGGTGACCCTTGCTGTCTTTAGTATGGACGAGAAGGTGGAAGATTCAATGGATTTGCTAAACAGACTTGCAACAATTGGTGACAATACATGAGAAGCTTTTTTATACATGAGTGGTGGTAAGTTATCTAGGTTTTCTGTCTTGTCGTTTAGTGTTCTGATGATGAGCGAGATTTCAGTAGGGATTGTTGGGGGTTAGAAATGTACTTGGGTGGTTACCAGCGAGGTAGTCTTTTGGCTGAAGGTTTGAGTTTGAGATTTTGAATGCTAGTTTTCTTCCTATGATTAAGAAAAAGACATTAAATTTGTTGGGAGTATCTGTTGGCTGGAGGAGAGGTTCTTCTGGTCATATTAAGTTAATAAATTTTTCAAGACAGCTTTTTAGACCCTAGAATTTCAGATAGGGTTTTACAGATCTTTTTCATAACACCTTTTATGTCATGAAATGTTTCTGTAATAGTTTTTTTTAACCTGCTTATTAGATTAGTACTGACAGAGTGTAAATTACCTAGGACAGCCTGAAAAAAAAAAAATCATTAAGTTGATGTGAGTGAGTCAGTGTTCAGACTCAGGAGTGACTTACCCACCAAGAATACCATCAACCACACCCATAAACTCACATATCACAAATTTTGAGCTGAAATTAAGCGGCTGGAAATGAATAATAAGTGAAGCACAGGTGGTTTAATTAGCATATTAAAAATGAAATATGAAGTGGACACCAAGGTTGAACATCCTGTCAAGGTTAACACTACTACCATTTACCACCACAAATACATGACAATAATAACACCAGCTTGTAAAATCAACTTAGTTACTGACAGATACAAGATTCAGTAAAAAAAAAAACAAGTCACTCACCACGGGAATTAACTGCCAAGACTGAAAGGTTCCTCTACGGTGTCTACATCAAAGCTACTACCCAACACACTCCAGGTTATACCTTTGTTTGAGAGTTGAAGTAAGTGATACCATGAGTGAGACACATAAACTGGTAGTGAGATAATGAGAGAGAGTATGAGGTCTTACTGCTGCTGTATCGACGCTTCTCTCTCCTCCCTCATATTATATGCAATATTACTTTACTCCCTCATACTGCTTACTTCTCTTGCATTATTTACCTTCTTAATAATTTAAAAAAATATATTAATGCTATTTTAATGTAACTTTCACTAAATATTGTCTTTATTCTTGCATGGTGAATGAAAAATATGTATCGCCATAACATTTTATTTTATCTAGACGTTAAAATATAAATATGTTTTATTTATAAAAAGAATTATTAGTTCAAAATATATGTATTTTTCTTTAAAAAAACTGGTCATTTATAATTTAATTAAATGACTTGCTAGAAGACGCTGACATACCCAGCCCATGGTGCCACGTTTCTTCCAATATCTTTGTGAATATACAATTAAAAGGAACTAAATGTCTTAAACTAATTAAAATATATATTTTACTACATCATCTTAATAATTTATTATAATCTGCTTCTATGTTTAAGTGGTTTATGGCTAATAATACATATAAAGATGAAAGAATTGACACCGACGCACGCTGCTGCCGAGTCTTGTAGTGTCGTGATGAATCTCACAACTTCAACGTCAACACAGTTTTTCACATATATGATGCTACTATATTAAAAGGTATGCCTCTTTTTCTATCCTAGAGGGGTTATACTAGGTGTATAATGTGTGGAGAGGTGTTACGTAGCCAAGAAGTGAGGTAATATTGTGTTAGAAGGCAGTTAAGACTGCCGGGCTTCATGGCTCTGGGAATTTCTGGATGTAAACAAATGTCAAAGATATTTTCTCCTATATTATTACTAATTATTTGTAAAAAATCCAAGTATATATTACTGTATTATTACTAGTACATAAATTAGTTGTGTTTAGCAGATTTAGTTGCTACAGTGTGTGCAAAATAAAGGCCATTGTGGCTATATGCTGGGGGTCGAATTTTTTATATACATAATTACCCATATATAGGAAACTTTTTGATATAGTTTATCACGGGAGACTAAATTGGAAACTTGGGAACATAGGAGGAATTAAATTTAATCTGGTAAAGTAGATGAATCATGTTGTGAGACATACAAGAAATAAGGAGATCCAATATTGAATGTTTTTTGATCCTGTGTCTCACCTCCACACATCTCTTTATTCTGCCAACCTTTAATATATCATGTTGGTGAGCCCCTCATACATGTTGGTGAGCCCCTCATACATGTTGGTGAGCCCCTCATACATGTTGGTGAGCCCCTCATACATGTTGGTGAGCCCCTCATACATGTTGGTGAGCCCCTCATACATGTTGGTGAGCCCCTCATACATGGTGAGCCCCTCATACATGCTGGTGAGCCCCTCATACATGTTGGTGAGCCTCTCATACATGTTGGTGAGCCCCTCATACATGTTGGTGAGCCTCATACATGTTGGTGAGCCCCTCATACATGTTGGTGAGCCCCTCATACATGTTGGTGAGCCCCTCATACATGTTGGTGAGCCCCTCATACATGTTGGTGAGCCCCTCATACATGGTGAGCCCCTCATACATGTTGGTGAGCCCCTCATACATGTTGGTGAGCCTCTCATACATGTTGGTGAGCCTCTCATACATGTTGGTGAGCCCCTTATACATGTTGGTGAGCCCCTCATACATGTTGGTGAGCCCCTCATACATGTTGGTGAGCCCCACATACATGTTGGTGAGCCCCTCATGCATGTTGGTGAGCCCCTCATACATGTTGGTGAGCCCCTCATACATGTTGGTGAGCCCCTCATACATGTTGGTGAGCCCCTCATACATGGTGGGCCCCTCACATGTTGGTGAGCCCCTCATACATGGTGGGCCCCTCACATGTTGATGAGCCCCTCATACATGTTGGTGAGCCCCTCATACATGTTGGTGAGCCTCTCATACATGGTGAGCCCCTCATACATGTTGGTGAGCCCCTCATACATGTTGGTGAGCCCCTCATACATGTTGGTAAGCCCCTCATACATGTTGGTGAGCCCCTCATACATGGTGAGCCCCTCATACATGTTGGTGAGCCCCTCATACATGTTGGTGAGCCTCTCATACATGGTGAGCCCCTCATACATGTTGGTGAGCCCCACATACATGTTGGTGAGCCCCTCATACATGTTGGTGAGCCCCTCATACATGTTGGTGAGCCCCTCATACATGTTGGTGAGCCCCTCATACATGTTGGTGAGCCCCTCATACATGTTGGTGAGCCCCTCATACATGTTGGTGAGCCCCTCATACATGGTGGGCCCCTCACATGTTGGTGAGCCCCTCATACATGGTGGGCCCCTCACATGTTGATGAGCCCCTCATACATGTTGGTGAGCCCCTCACATGTTGGTCAGCCCCTCACATGTTGATGAGCCCCTCATACATGTTCGTGAGCCCCTTATGTTGGTGAGCCCCTCATACATGTTGGTGAGCCCCTCACATGTTGGTGAGCCCCTCATACATGTTGGTGAGCCCCTCATACATGTTGGTGAGCCTCTCATACATGTTGGTGAGCCCCTCATACATGTTGGTGAGCCCCTCATACATGTTGGTGAGCCCCTCATACATATTGGTGAGCCCCTCATACATGTTGGTGAGCCCCGCATACATGTTGATGAGCCCCTCATACATATTGGTGAGCTCCTCATACATGTTGGTGAGCCCCTCATACATGTTGGTGAGCCTCTCATACATGTTGGTGAGCCCCTCATACATGTTGGTGAGCCCCTCATACATGTTGGTGAGCCCCTCATACATGGGCCCCTCACATGTTGGTGAGCCCCTCATACATGGTGGGCCCCTCACATGTTGATGAGCCCCTCATACATGTTGGTGAGCCCCTCACATGTTGGTCAGCCCCTCACATGTTGATGAGCCCCTCATACATGTTCGTGAGCCCCTCACATGTTGGTGAGCCCCTCATACATGTTGGTGAGCCCCTCATACATGTTGGTGAACCTCTCATACATGTTGGTGAGCCCCTCATACATGTTGGTGAGCCCCTCGTACATGTTGGTGAGCCCCTCATAAATGTTGGTGAGCCCCTCATACATGTTGGTGAGCCCCTCATATGTTGGTGAGCCCCTAATACATGTTGGTGAGCCCCTCATACAACATGTTGGTGAGCCCCTCATACAACATGTTGGTGAGCCCCTCATACATGTTGGTGTGCCCCTCATACACCATGTTGGTGAGCCCCTCATACATGTTGGTGAGCCCCTCATACATGTTGGTGAGCCCCTCATACATGTTGGTGAGCCCCCCATACATGGTGAGCCCCTCATACATGTTGGTGAGCCCCTCATACATGTTGGTAAGCCCCTCATACATGTTGGTGAGCCCCTCATACATGGTGAGCCCCTCATACATGTTGGTGAGCCCCTCATACATGTTGGTGAGCCCCCCATACATGTTGGTGAGCCTCTCATATCGTAGGGGTTCTAAATGGAGATATCGAGGGTTGAAGGTAGACACACTTGTTGGATGGTAACCATATATATTGTCAGACTGTGATGATGGGAAATGGAGCCCAGCCTCTGCCTGTCCTAGCCTGTGTCAAAACGCCGACTGAGGCCGAGGCAGAGGTACAAACGTACACATGCGCATCCCGTGACGTCACACAAAGTCACAGGCCTAAAAGGGATCTCCTATCAAAAGCACATGGATGATACTATATGCTATGCTACACAGGGATCAGCAACTATGCTGACACTCATACATGTTGGTGAGCCCCTCATACAACATGTTGGTGAGCCCCTCATACATGTTGGTGAGCCCCTCATACATGTTGGTGTGCCCCTCATACACCATGTTGGTGAGCCCCTCATACATGTTGGTGAGCCCCTCATGCATGTTGGGGAGCCCCTCATACATGTTGGTGAGCCCCTCATACATGTTGGTGAGCCCCTCATACATGTTGGTGAGCCCCTCATACATGTTGGTGAGCCTCATACATGTTGGTGAGCCCCTCATACATGTTGGTGAGCCCCTCATACATGTTGGTGAGCCTCATGTAGGTGAGCGCCTCATACATGTTGGTGAGCCCCTCATACATGTTGGGGAGCCCCTCATACATGTTGGTGAGCCCCTCATACATGTTGGTGAGCCCCTCATACATGTTGGTGAGCCCCTCATACATGTTGGTGAGCCTCATACATGTTGGTGAGCCCCTCATACATGTTGGTGAGCCCCTCATACATGGTGAGCCTCATGTAGGTGAGCGCCTCATACATGTTGGTGAGCCCCTCATACATGTTGGTGAGCCCCTCATACATGTTGGGGAGCCCCTCATACATGTTGGTGAGCCTCATGTAGGTGAGCGCCTCATACATGTTGGTGAGCCCCTCATACATGTTGGTGAGCCCCTCATACATGTTGGTGAGCCCCTCATACATGTTGGTGAGCCCCTCATACATGTTGGTGAGCCCCTCATACATGGTGAGCCTCATACATGTTGGTGAGCCCCTCCTACATGTTGGTGAGCCCCTCATACATGTTGGTGAGCCCCTCATACATGCTGGCAAGCCCTCATACATGTTGGTGAGCCCCTCATACACCATGTTGGTGAGCCCCTCATACATGTTGGTGAGCCCCTCATACATGTTGGTGAGCCTCATAAATGTTGGTGAGCCCCTCATACATGTTGGTGAGCCCCTCATACATGTTGGTGAGCCCCTCATACATGTTGGTGAGCCCCTCATACATGTTGGTGAGCCTCTCGTACATGTTGGTGAGCCCCTCATACATGGTGAGCCCCTCATACATGGTGAGCCCCTCATACATGTTGGTGAGCTTCATGCATGTAGGTGAGCCCCTCATACATGTTGGTGAGCCCCTCATACATGTTGGTGAGCCTCATACATGTTGGTGAGCCCCTCATGTTGGTGAGCCCCTCACATGTTGGTGAGCCCCTCATACATGTTGGTGAGCCCCTCATACATGGTGAGCCCCTCATACATGGTGAGCCCCTCATACATGTTGGTGAGCCCCTCATGTTGGTGAGCCTCTCATACATGGTGAGCCCCTCATACATGGTGAGCCCCTCATACATGTTGCTGAGCCTTTCATACATTGTGAGCCCCTCATACAACATGTTGGTGAGCCTCTAATGAATGTTGGTGAGCCCCTCATACAACATGTTGGTGAGCCTCTCATGAATGTTGGTGAGCCCCTCATACAACATGTTGGTGAGCCTCTCATACATGTTGGTGAGCCCCTCATACATGTTGGTGAGCCCCTCATACATGTTGGTGAGCCCCTCATACATGGTGAGCCCCTCATACATGGTGAGCGCCTCATACATGTTGGTGAGCCCCTCATACATGTTGGTGAGCCCCTCATACATGTTGGTGAGCCTCTCATACATGTTGATGAGCCCCTCATACATGTTAGTGAGCCCCTCATATACAACATGGTGAGCTCCTCATACATGTTGGTAAGCCCCTCATACACCATGTTGGTGAGCTCCTCATGCAACATGTTGGTGAGCCCCTCATACAACATGTTGGTGAGCCCCTCATACAACATGTTGGTGAGCCGCTCATGCACCATGTTGGTGAGCCCCTCATACACCATGTTGATGAGCCCCTCATACACCATGTTGGTGAGCCCCTCATACACCATGTTG